TAATAATAATAAATAAATTATATATCATCACTATGCTCTAGGTTTATTATCGATATAATAAAACTAACTTTAATTATACTAGTCCTGCCGAAATAAATTGGCAGAATAATCGATTTGGTTAATTTTTATCAGGTTTCCCAGAAAATGTTAATAGCTACTGAGTTTTTTTGATTACAAACTCGGATATCGGACAGTGTCCATGTCCACCATATGTCTGTGTTTGATAATTATTGCTCAAACAGTGTCTAGTGACAATCAATTTACTCGGACATAATTCAGACACAAACATTGGACAATATCCGAAATGTCTGAGTCTGCCAAAAATAGCTCGGACATTAAAAATTGACAACACTGCCTGCCCGTACCCATAATGTGTCTGGTAATTTTGTGCCTAGAAACACAGATATGGCTCAAGGTACACTCCCCTGATAGTGATTACTGGAATTTCCAAAATTATATACAATCGATGGTTATAACTCACATTGTACAATAATTTTTTGTAAAACAAATCTCTTAACATAAATATCCAAATTTTTTTTTACAGTTATACTAGATGCCAATCTGTCTGACTGTAATTTTTTTTTTTAAAAAATTTTTTTTTTTTTATCATGAAACAAAAGAAGCAACTAACCAAAGAACAATGCACCCAAATTATTGATACTTGGCAAAGTGGTGTGAAGCTAGCAAAAATCATATGAACCTTAAATTTACCAAAGAGCACCATCTATGATGTTGTTAACTATTACAAAAAAATTGGAGAAATAAAACCTTTTTCTTGCACTGGAGCAGCCCCTAAAATAACTGAACGTGGTACTCGCCACTTTATACACCTTTTGAAAAGTGATAGAAAGGCTAGTTTGAATGTTTTGACAAATAATTTTGTAGAATCAACGTCTGTTGAGGTGTTTACACGTACTATACAATGTCGCCTTTATGAAGAAGAGTTTTTTGGCTGGGTTGGTAAGAGAAAACTATTCATTAATAAAGCCTCTTGCTTGTATCATTTGGAGTGGACTGAAAAACAAGAACACTGGAATAAAAGGTGGAAAAATGTCAATTGAAGTGATGAATCACAGTTTGGAGAGGATGGTCGCATGTACGTTTGGAGGAAACCAAAAGAAAAATATAATGTAAATTGTTTGGTTTCTATGTTTAGATTAGAAAGAAATGATGTAATGGTTTGGGAGTGTTTTAGTTACTATGGCCCTGGGCCTTTGGTTCGAGTTTTTGATAATAGGAATTCAAAAGACTATACTGAGATTCTTTGCAATTGTTTGTTGCCTTTTTTAGATGGTTTAGAAAATATTGTTGGAGAAAAAAATTATTTATTCCAAAGTGACAATGTAAAAATTCATACTTCTATTTTCACCACAGCTTGGCTTAAAGAAAATAAGATTGATCAACTTCCTTGGCCTGTATATAGTCCCAATCTCAATCCTATAAAATATATTTGGGATAAATTGGAGCGCCGGGTTTGTAAGCATATTCCTCTGCCAGGTAATGAGTTGGAACTATTCAATTTGCTGCAGGAGGAGTGGTTTAATCTTGATGGTTCGATTTTTAGAAATTTTGTTGAAAGTATAGTTCGTCGTATTTATGCTGTACTTGATACTAATAGATACCCTACGAGGTATTAATAGTTGTAAATAATAATTTTTTTTATATTTCTATTAAATAAAAAAAATTTGACCCAAGTTATTAAGTGAGTTGTTGAAAAATTGCAGTTGTAAAAACTTGTAAAAAAAATAATCGTCATTTTGTAACTATAAAATTCTGGTAATCACTGTCAGGGGAGTGTACTAGTGCCGGCCTGATGCCTAATTTGTCTGGCATAGACATTTGCAAATCCCTAATAAGAATCAAGAAATTCAAAAAGAAGGATCTAATTCAATTTCTCTTGCAGAAGTTGAGGAGGTTAGTATTAAAAACTTGCAAATAATCTTACAAAATATCCTTTGGCTTTTTTTATATTTTGGTTATGTATAGAGCAAAATCATTAAAGCAGATGTGAATATTGAAGTTAATGTAGATCAATCTATGGATAAAAATCAAAAAATTTGAAAAGAATCTGATCTAGTTTCTTTTGCAAAAGCAGAGGTTAGTATTAAGTTTGCTTTGTAAAAGGACCCAGGTCACTTACATTTTACCAAAAAAATTCATTAGTAAAAAATAAGGTGGGCCTGATATATGGAAGATCTTGTATATAACCTTTTATAATAACTCTGCAAAATGATCCCTAACTTTTCTTATATTTTGGATGTGCATAGATCAAAGCCACCGAAGGAAATATGAATATCAAAAATAATAACAACAATGTTAAGAAAATGATTTCTACTATATATTTACAATTTACAGAAAAATATCGAAGAATTCCTAAAGAAAATAAATGGACCTTGTCAACAGAAAAAGTTGTTAAAGATGCATTATACTCATTTGGAATGAAATACATATATGAACAGTAATAAATATTTACTTGTTGCATTTATGTATATTTTATATATATAATTTGTAACTTAATGATATATTATTTTACTTTATAAAAGTTTTATTCTTTTGTTATTGATCTGGATGACTATAACTATATACAAAATGGCATCTTCACATATAAGAAACTAGAAAAAATTAAAAATTTTAGCAAGAAAGAATTGTCATTAATATCAGAGAAACTTTTATTTTTTTCATAGTATTTATTCACATATTATATAAACTATTTAACAATATGTCAAACAGTTTAATACTTCTGATTTGTGGAAATTAATCTTTCATTCTGATTTATATGATCTATCATTCGACTAGTCAAAAGATTTTGATTATAATTGGGTATGTAACACAATATATAATCTGTAAGTACTGTAACAGTTATTTTGATTATGTTATACTGTTGTGTACATGATTGCTAAAAATATTACATATTAAAATAATAGTATTTAGGAATATAAAGCAAATCATTTCTTAAAGAATTATCTTGAAGCATGGATCACGCTACATGTATAGTCTTTTATCAATAAAGCCTTTTTAGACATAGATGGAATGGAAATTACTAGATAGGGTTTATCTTTAAAAACATTTTTCACTATTATAAATTTGTTAATTATTTCTTTAAGACAGAGGTGAATCAGGTAGCTATGCTTTATCAAATAGAAAAATTTACAAAGAATGGTTGTATCGACAAGTTTTATAAAAAGAAAAACAATAGGTCAATGCGGAGATTTAGTAATCTAGAAGTGGCATATGGAATATAGATGTAGTGAAGTGGGAAATTTATTTAAAGGTATCAATAGAACAAAAATCATGAAGAAGTGTAGGTTGAAAATGCCCAAAATGCTTAAAAACATGTTCAATAATTAAAGTTAGTTTTATTATATCGATAATAAACCTAGAGCATAGTGATGATATATAATTTATTTATTATTATTA